GGAATGTTGTTTATGAATGATATTAGGATGGAGTGGGAGGTGGATAAACAAATTTTTGTCTGTTTTATCTTCCTTCCTGTCGTTTTAGCTTTTCTCTCTTTTCTGTTTACCCGTTTTACCTCTTCCTCACATCTCAGGGCTTAAAGGAAACATGTTAGGTAACTAATAAGGAAGGAGTGGTGCTGTGTGTGAGATTATGAACTATACATCTTGCCACATTGAAGACATAACTTCCTTTTTGAATCTTCTTCCATATCGGTTATCACAGCTCCATCTGTGGCTCTTGTTTCTCTTTTGGTGTCATGATTTACTTCATTTCCTGCTCTAGTCTGTCCCAGCTGTATCCTGTTCGTATAAAATTCTCGAATAGTTAAATTCCTCACATGATCTCTGCCTTTGCCGAACTGGCCTCAGATAATATAAACTATTTACATTGATGTAATTTGTTGCCTTTTTCTCCAACTCCTTGGCTTTGCTTCCTCTCTGCTTCAAATCTTTCCAGAATAATTTGTTTCTACAATAAATTGTCCTGTTTTTAGAAGCGCCTTTGTTCCTATGGAAGACTGATCCTGCCAACACTGGAGGATGGCTATAAATGGCTTGAAAGTGTAATTAATGTGGGAAACATTGTATCCAACAATGAAAAATACAAATCTTTCCCAGCTTGGATCTTGATATTGGCCAATAGGTGAGAAGCGGGCTCTGAGTTCCCGCCCACTAGACCCTCTTCTCCTTTGGTTAGTTTAGCTCCTGCAAAGATTCAGAAGGAAAAACTAAGTAGAACATGAAGGGGAAAAACAAGGTAAATTAGAAAAAAACAGAAGACAAAATGAAAAAAGGAAATAGGAGAAAATAAATCAATGTATGATCTAAGAAACTAACAATAAATAAAAATTTGAATATGAATAAAAAAAATATAAAAATCTATAAAAAATTGAAGATTAAACAATGTTAAATCAAAACTATTATAAATTTTGCCACTCTGTAATCAAATAAGTTTGTAAAGTTCTTATTTATTTTTTGTTGGAATATTTGCCACATTAATTTCTTAATCAAGATATTGTTTTATTCCTTTATTGATTGCCATTGTTGGCAAAATCATTCCAACATACTTTTTTTTTCTTCGCACTGCATCTACATATCGTCAGTAGTTTAAACTATCATGCGTGTGAATGTGCGAATGAATGACAGACTGCAGTGTAAAGAGCTTTGGAGTCCTCTGACTTAGTTAAGCTCTATACGAAACAGTAAAAGCAGCAACTGGGGATTTAGATGGTCCTACTCAGAGTTAAACCTCTGTCATTTTCAGCAATTGCTGACTTACTGTCAGGTGTGCAGTGTCTCACAAAAGTATTCACACCATTTGAGCTACCTTGCACCATTCGATCTCTGGATTGTATAGACACTTTTAGGAAACAACTTAAGACCCACTTTTTTAAACTTGCTTTTTAGCGTAATACTTGTTTTATTGTTTTGTATGTTGCTTTTAATTTATTTATTTTTACATTTTGTACAGCACTTTGTGACCCTGGTCTGTGAAAAGTGCTATAGAAATAAAGTTTACTTACTTACTTACTTACTTACTTACCATTTGAACTTGTTCACATTTTTTTTATATTTTAAATAGGATATTTGATTTTTCTCTGCATTTTTCTAATGCCAATGTATTAGCAAATTTTTTTTAATGAATTAATTTTTTTTGTAGAGCATATTTGAAATACTAGAAAGGAAATGATGTTTGGGAAGCTGAAATACCCAGTAGAAATGCTGCTAGACATGCTTTGACTGGCGGTTGCAGAACCAGCCAATCCAAGACCACCATTATTTTTTCCTTAATGGTGATTGGGCTGTTAGTTTATGCCGTATCACCAAGTCGGTTTCCACTGTGCTTTGTGACACACATATTAAGGTATATTTGGTGTTTGAATTATTAAAATAGAGCGATATAGAGAAGGTCTCAAGTAAAAAGAAAGCCATGAGACGTCAAGCTGAATTTGTCAATTTCGATGTCTAAAACTAAAACGTACCCAAATTCTATTTTTGTTTAGTCAAGCAGTCAAAATGTGTTTCCTCGGAATAGGTCTCTGAGGTAGACGCAGACATTTTTATCTCTTTTCTTCACTCTTCTTCTGCTCACACACTCAGTGGTGGACACTGGTTAGTACTGATAGGAGTGGTCTGTGGAGCAGGGGAGGTTGGCAGCTGTGTTTATCTTGAACCGCCTGTGGGCGGGCTTTCAGGCATGTTTGTCCAGGGAAGCAGCGCTAGGGGTCACGACTCACTGCAGTATGAAATATGTTTACCTTATCTTTCACCTCCGGATGATCTCCACCTTAAAGGATGAGTCACGACTATTGCACAAGTTTTGGTGTGACGGAGTCTCACCTTAATGCTGAATCACTGTTACAACTCATGGAGTGTAGCTCTAAGAGTTTAAGTTCATTCAGAGTTCACTGGATGAACACTCATTGATTTCTTCTAAGAAAGAGGCACAACTTTATATTAAGGTTAACATTTTTCAAGTCTGTGAAAAATCACTTGAAGTCAGACACAGTGCAGTCAAAAGTATTCTTGTTTTGTTCCCAAAATGAAAATAGGAGAAAAAGTAATAAGAATCTTGAATTGCACTGCTGATTTAGAGTTCAGCAGAAAACTTATTTGCTCAATTGCATATTTGTTTTGCTTTGATTAGTAAAATCTTTACTTGGAGGCTGTTTGTTTTATAGTTTACATACGGGGTTCTCCAAGGCTCAATCCTTGGAGCCCTTTCATTAAACATCTACTACTGCAAGTTATAAAAGAAAATAAGATTATAAGACTGAGCTCCTTTAAATTAATACTAAAAACCCACCTATTTGCCGTTGCTTTGAACCATAAAAAATATGGATTATTGATCACTTGGATTATTTGAACACTTTGAATTACCCTTTTTTCAGAAATGTTTGATTTCTGATTGATTGGTTATCTTTGCATTCAGATTTGTTTAATAATCTGAAATGGTTGTGTCACAAAACAAACAACAACAAAAAACCCAGAAAAAAATCTTCAAATTTTTTTACAGTGTGGCGACTACAACACATCCATTGTACACAGAGGTCAAATCCAGATTCATGATGGGGGCAAATATGGATTTTTGATTTTCTTTAAGTGCCTCAGGCAACACAAATGTTGGCCTTCAGAGCCACTGGGCGGTGTCTTTTTTAATACCGTTAAGCACTCTTTGAAATATTGGATATTTTTAATAACACTGTCTTGCATTAAATCTTTTAATACCACTCTTGTACATTAAAAAGGCAACAAATAACTGTTTACTGAAATCGCTACGGGGAGCAGATGAAGACGGATTCTGCATCTCGTATCAGTGGGAAAGTGTGTCAGGTTCCTGCAGCTTCAGTTGCTTCTCTTCAGTCTGATTGTCTCCTGTCAAGATATTTGTGTTTTGAAGCATTGTTGAAGGTTCTTTCTAATAAAGATGAGAAATACCTAATCAATTCTAGTAAAATGTCTTTTAGTGTCTTTTTATGAGTGTAAATTCAATAAATAGAAAGTTACCACTGGAAGAAATATAGAATTTTTAGGTCCACATTGTCCATCCTAGTTGTTAGTTTTCAAAGTCAGTTCAAAATGTCTCCTTTTCTCACCTCAAGAAGTTGTGTAGGAATCTGCAAAGGGCCAAAGTGTCCCTACAGGTAATAGGAATGCACGTCAGGCATGAAAGGAGCTCAATAATGTAAACCTGATCCTCCAGCTGCTACTGTGTTTTGAAAAAGCATTCATGACCTTTGAATTTTCTTTCACCCACTACAAACTTGAATGTGTTTGAGTGGGTTTTATGTCACAGAGCAAAAAGAAAAAGCTAAATTGTGAATTGAAAAGAAAATAATTTGTGGTTTTATAAATGTATTTAGGACGCGTTCACACCAGCCCCGTTTAGTCCGCTTTAATCGAACTCTAGTTGTTTGTCTACAAAGTCTGAGCCTACAAGCCTTGGTCTTGGTTCGGTTGAAGTGAACTCCGGTTCTGTTCGAAAGCCTATGTGAACGCAAAGTGGACCAGAGACCGCTCCAAAAGCAGGAAGCGGAGTCTAGCGCGGGGCATTATGGGTAAATGTAACCAAAACAAACGAGTCCAACGCTAGCGGGAGAAATGGCCTGTGGTCTTCTACAAACCAATTCAATCCTACACCAGCTAAAATCAGATGTCATTCCACATTTGTTTACATTTCATGAATAAGGAAGCTGCCCTCATGTTTTCCTCAGAGGTTTTTGTGTCGTTACCTTCTGTGGTTCTTTATACAGCGCCACCACAGGTGAGGAGGTGAACAGGTTTTTGAAGAGTTTAGCTTGCAGTGTGAAGGCGAACCACATCAGCTGAAAATGTAACAAATGTCACAGTTTTGGTCCCCAATAAAACGCTCGGAGACCTTGACAACTTAAATGATAAGTAAAAGAAGTTCCTCTGCATGTATTTTAATTTAAGATGTTCTCAGAGCTTCGTTATAGAACGTTAGTGAACAGGTATCACCATGAAGACAGGAATAAAACAAATATTTATAGAATAATAGTTGTGAAGAAGCTTTGGCTATAAAATAATAATCCAGACATTGTCATCTGAAAATAGAAAAAAGAATCAACTTGAACTCACATTGAGGTTTATGGTTGTAAGGTGACAAAATGTGGTGCAGTTCAAGAGCTATGAACACTTTATGGAGGGAGGAAGTCTGTTGCTTCTTGACTCCAGGCTCTGAGGAAAGTTTTGTTGGGCTTCTGGTGCAACAAAGTAACAACTGAGATGTTTTTGCTCAGGATTCCTTTGTTTTCCTTTACTTGATCTAAAAAACTAACCATAACCGTGTTGTTTAATCTCTCTGACTCTGATTCTGTCTATTTTGAAGCTTCTGTCCTGTCCAGTGAGATGACCCAGGTGTTGTAATCTGGAGTTTTTCTTTTTGAGACACCCTGTTGTGTGAACTAACCAGCCAATCGTCTGGTCCTCTGCAGGAACCCAACCAGACATTCCACACAGACCTGCCCGACCTCTCCGAGTGTTTCCAGCTGTCCGTCCTGGCATGGCTGCCCTGCGTCTTCCTATGGGTAGCCTCTCCGGCCTACATCTACTACCTGAAGAAGAGCAGCCGAGGGTACATCATGATGTCGCTGCTGAACAGGTTCAAAACAGTAAGTGGGACATTGTCTCATTAAGTAAGATCTTAAGGAAAAAAACGGTAAATAGTTCAGTAATATAGGAAGGAGCTCGATCATGGAGGAGCCTGAAACTTAAAGTCCAGATTTCTGAATCGACAGCGTTTGTACAGGTGCTTGAAATCCTTGAAAGGCTTGATTTAAATTAGGTGTTTTCAAGGTTTGGAGTCCATGAAAGTGTGTGATATTTAAAGCACGCCATTTTGTAACAAAGTGCCATCAAATGTTTGATTAAAAGTCTAATTTTATTTAGAGTTGAAACCAGATATTTTCATACACTGAATGAAAACACACATTTTTTTCTGACTGCCTGAAGTTAAATAAGACAAACTTTTTCTTGTCTCAGGTAACTTAGAATTACCAAAATGATTTCTAATTGCTAAAAGCCAGAAAACGTTGAGAGAACATTTAAAAAAAAAATTTTTTTAAGTATATTATGTTTAAGTATTTAATTTGAGCTCTAAGATAATTTACCTTAACATGATTTGCTTGGATTGTTTCAATGTAATGAATATTTATTACTCCTAGTGGCTCAACGACTTATTAATCTGTGTATTTGAGAAAAAGGTTGATTTATATTTTATATCTTAATTAGGTTATTGAAATTATAAAATTTTTGCTTCGTTCTCGGACCAGGTGAGTGTGTTAGGTTTGTTAAAGAGAATTTTGAAAACAAAACTGTATTTTAGCTTTCTTTGTCCCTGCACTGTAGGTTACTACCACAGGAATAAATGATGTCATCTAATAGTGAATTGAATCTGTCGTTTTTAATTCATTTATTCTGGTTTCATCTCCAAAGTGTGGTGATGGAAAGGTTTGAAAACGTACCTTGAAAATGCTTGAAAAGTGTTTGAACTTTACTATTGGAAAAGTGTATAAACTATGATTCATAAACAATAGAAACTGTTTAAAAAGTGTGTTTAGTTTTAATTCACATGCACCTTTGATCTGTAAACCAGAACAGGTGAAGTAAAGGAAGGCTTCATTCAAATCATCACACCACAGACAAATAAAAACTAAATGATCAACTTCCTGTTTTTCCCACTAGGAAGTGAACCGCTGAACCCTTCTCTCCTGTTTCTCCCACCTCTTCTTTGTTTTTCTGTCGTTTCATTTGTTTTATTCTCACTCTGCTTTTCCTTTTCCCTCAGGCGTTCGGCTTGTTGCTCTGGATCGTGTGCTGGGCCGACCTCTTCCACACATTTCACGAGCTGCAGCAGGGTCAGTCCCCGCCCCCCATCTATTTCATCTCCCCGCTGGTGCTCGGCATCACCATGGTAAGGAACGTGCAGCGTAGCATGGGTCAAAGAGCGACAGCTTTACAAAAGGCCATTCATGGACTGTATGTCCTGCAGCATAGGGGTTGTACATTTATTTTTGCATATGCAAATTCAAAGTATGGCGCTCACATCTGTGATGCTGTTGCAGTGATAACAGATGGGACCAGCAGCACTCCCTACAGATTTTTTTTTTTTTTTTTAAATTAAGATTGCAGGTTTCATCTCGTATGAAAATGATATGCTAACTATTGTTGTAACAAACTGTGTTAGCATAAGATTGTTTTGCTCTAACGCAGCAGCGTCATGCGGAGATGAATATTTGCAGCTCCCCTGTGGTTGAGCATTCAAGCTGGTCTCCAGCAGTGAAGGCAGCCAAACCTTCTGTTTTTATAGGAAAACGTATAAATGTGAAGGCAAACAACTTGTCTCGTCGTTCAGTTCATGGGAACCTGTTGCAGAATTTACTGCATGAAAAGAAGTTTGTAACACATCTGGAATAAGAATGTCATGCTCAGGGCAGACACTTAGAAAGTCTTAAATTAATATATATCTTAATATATACCTAAAATTAAAGCCTTAAATTGTCTTAAATTCATTTTTAAAAAGTAAGTTGGCCTTAAATACATTAATCGCAGGTCTTAAATTTTTTCCTATTTCATTTCATATATTCTTTACATTCTTTTGCTTTTCTTTCAAGCAAAAGTTTGAGACGCATGCAAACATTTGTATTGCGTTCTTTGACTTGAGGCTGTCATTGCTAATCTTGCTAGCTAGCTTTTTTATGCGTTTTTAACGGGTAAATGGAAACTTATCTCCAGTTGTCTGGACGAAGTTCGTACGTTTCTGTGAATATTTAGTTCTTAAATTTCATTCATAATGGTCTTAAAAAGGTCTTAAAAAGTTTTAAATTTTACTTGGTGAAATATGCAGAGACCCATGTTATTACCTACAAGACAAGCTGAAAGAAGTCAAGTAAGAAAACGATCACTGACAATACTTTCAGCAGAATCATGAAGGTGAAACATCAGAACATCAGTCATTACTTCAGTGCAAATATCTAAGAGATGGAAGAAATTAAAATACTTTCAGCAGTTTTTTGTGACAATACTTCAGTGTTCAGTTTAACTCTGAGAAGAAGGATGTTTTTCTTTTAAGTTAAACTAGTTAGATTTGCACATATTGAGTTATTTAAAAAAAAAAGATAGAAAACACTTGTTGAATTGCAGCAGTCTGTCATATTTTGTGAAGCAGAATTACAGTAAATGTTAATGTCTAGCTACTGATTTGCTTGTGTTTGTTCTCACCACATTTACATATGTTTTCACATATGTTTTTGGTTAATGGATGTGGTTTAAAAACATATAATTCCTACTGATGGAGGCTGCAGACGACCTGAGGTTGAGACGGAGGACAGCTGAATATAAATGCTCTCTTGTTTCTCCGAGTCATAACGGAAAGAACGCGCTGATCTCTGGAGGAACATCACCATCAGATGTCATAAAGATCATTAACTAATCATTGCAGCCCTTTTCTTTCTTCAA